TGTGTGTGTGTGCACGTGTGTCTGTATTAGAAATAAAAAAATATATATAGGGTAGCCATATATGTACATGTAATAAACATGTACGAGTATATGTGTAGGCCTGTAAGTGGGGCAGGGGGTGCATTTGTGTGTGTGTGTGTCTATGTAGGCGCTACTGTGAGTCATGAGTCTATGTATGTGTATTTATGTGTGTGTATGTGTATATGTGTGTATATGTGTATGTGATTGTGTATATGTATGTATGCGTGAGTGTGTGTGTGAGTGTGTGTGTGAGTGTGTGTTTGTGTGTGTTTGTGTGTGAGTGTGTGTGTGAGTGTGTGTTGCGTGTGTGTGTCTGTCTGTCTGTCCCTAGAGTGCAAATATAAATTTTTTTATACATAATACATATACAGACTTTAAGAATTTCGAATAAACTATTATTTGCTTTAAAATGCTTGAGGTAGACTCATTTTGCACATTTTAAATAAAGTTACGTTAAAAAACAGAAGTGCTACAGCAGAACTCCTACCTTCCAAGGAGATGTGCGGCCATCGTGGCAGCCCCGGTGATAGAGCAGGAATCCCAGGCCTTGCCTCCGAAAGCCCCGCCCACGCGAGGAACGGTCATGTTGATGCTAAAAAAATAGACAGACCAAGATAATGCATGTTTCTGTCTGTTCAAACTCAGATAGAAAAATCTTTGTGATAATTTTAGATTTTGTCACCTTTACTGAGAAAAACATTTAGTTTCATCTATCAGTTTCTGAAATAAAGGTTCTTTGAGAACAGTCTTTATTCCTGTTCTTTGTATTGAAGATACGTTTCTTCCTGAAAAAGTTCCCTTAATGCAATAATGAACATATTGTTGTTTGGTGCATTTTTTTTTTGTATCTCAAAAGGAGGACAGAAGCATCAGAGCAATCTTCACAATTACTTTAATAGAAAAAAATGCCATTGCAGCATCTATAAGTTCAATACATAAGGGACTTTAGTGACTCTCGTTGACTTTGAAGTGGTAAAGAGTGCTTTTCAGCTGCTCGGTGTCAGACTATGTCATACAACACTTTTGAAAACAGTGTGTGATGGAGTTTTACACAAATCCGCCACTTCGCTTTATCTGTCTTATTTTAGTGACTCTTTTTCGTTATTGGAAATCTGGCCTTTCTACAGTTTTCAAGTTCAGTTTGGGAAAAGTTTCACAGCATTGCTAACTGCAGAGGATAATATAAACATGTTGTGAGAGAACACATGTAAAAATAGAAACTTACTAATTGAGAGGCATCCCAATGACGCTTGCGGCCACGATTTGGTTCATGTTGGCGAACTGAGTGGCAGCGTACACATCTATGCCATCTTCTGAGGGAACAGCCAGAGATACCTGAGAGAAGAAAATAGGAGATATTGCATAGTGTTCGTTATATAAATGTACAAGTTTTACACCCGTATTAATAATATTTAGATCACGTACAAGGTGAGCTGCTTCAAGTAAATCAACCCTGCCTGTCAGGACCAACTTAATACTACGTCCCAGCAGAAAGACAAAGGCTCTTAATTAACCCTATCCATAAGTCATGTGTTACTATCGTATTCATACGACGTGGGGAACTCTCTGCCATCACTTTCCAAAGAGGAAATTTACTCGTTAATCCGATCCGTATGCTTTGCACAGCAGTTTGTCAAAATGATTTTTTGAGAAGTACCAAAAGTTTCAAAGAGATCTTCGTATTAGAAGCATTCTAAAATGTGAAGAATACAACCCTGGGGGTACAAAATGACCCCAGGACCTACGGATAGGGTGAATAAAAAGTCCATTTTGTTTTGTTATACCATACTAAATCATCTAATGTGTTGTGGTCCTGCCTTATAGAAAGTGCCATATACAAGTAAGTAGGACGTTTGGTTGTTTGAGTAAAGAGAAGTATAATGACACAGCCATGGTAATAATTTACTGCAAGGAAAAAGAAAGGCAGACAGACAGAAACAATAAGGGCACACAGGGCAGGACGCACGGGGGTGGAAGGAAAGGGGAGTGGGAGGAAAAAAGAAAAGAAACGGGACCTATAACTGGCGCGCTCCAACTACCAGCTTGTAAGTAGAATACCACACTCGTAACACGTAAAATTTTCCGACAGGAAAATGTATTGATGTGTACAACTGTCAAATGTCAAGCTCAGTATATCAAAAGAAAGTGTGTGTGGTAGTAAAAATAATCATCAAAGTGCAAAGAGAAAAAAAGAATCACTCTGTAGTAACATGAACATACACACAGGTGTCTGTGAAGTAAGCAGTCTGCTGTCCTGCCCATTATTTAAAAAATACCTGTTCAGTATCCACAAAATGAAGACTTTTAGTTGGACATTTCTGTCATTTTGGTGGGGAGAACCCCACAAGGCCTACATCAACAATGACAGGCAGAAACAAACTCACCTTCCTTCAAAATTTATATTTTATGGAAACCTCAACTGGACCGTAACTGCAATATAAATAATGAAATTAAGTTGATGATTGAGAACAGTGTTTACAATCTGTGGACATACGTGAGTTTCCAGAAAGAAGTGGTACTGTGAGCCCATCTTGCACTCTCCTTCTACAGTTTTTTCCACTGTATTCCAAACATCTGCGAAAAAGAAAAAAAAATATAGATAGGTCCAAATTGTCACTTCACTGTAATAGGTAAGCTACAAGAGAAAGTCAAAGTCTTAAGTGATGCACTGGAGGAGAGATAAACCATCCATTGTATGTGATGTAAAGGCTTTTCACTTTTGCCCACTGAAGATATGAAATCAATTTTCACATGGAAAGGTGATTTTTAACGAGTATTTCTGTCTGTCTGCTGGGTTTTCATCCCATTTATCCTGAGTTGAGTTGACACAAAGGATCATTATCAAAATTATATAACACTCAGTTAAAAGAAAAAATGAACCAAGAGAAAAAATAATATTCCAAGGGAAGAAGATACCCCAATTTGAATACATTAGATGCATGAAGCTCTAAATGAGGTATATTCTAGAGAGATTAAGAGATGTATTGTAGAGAAATAAAGAGGTGTATCGTAGAGAAATAAGAGGCTGTAAAGTTCACAGACTGCAAACATATTTAGGATATATATTGTACATCCTCCACAAAACTATTAGATTCTCTACATGGCCACTTACCATCCGGTTGTCCAACAACGATCTCGCTATTCGGGTACTCCATCTCCCTGCCAGCCTCAATACTTTCCTCAATGGACAAGATAGGCTTCTGGACATCAGAGTAAGTGATGTGGACTTTCTTGGCCCCAGCATTGGCTTGACTCTGGGTTTCTGCATTTAAAAAATGACAAAATTTACAAAAGTGTTTTTAACAGTCATCATACAAACAAAGAAACGGAATTGGTCATCTGTGACATGCAGAAATTTCTTCTACTTTTGGAAGGGGGGG